CAAGAAAAAGAAATTACAAAGAAAATAGATAGGAGTATTAGTGATGCTAAAGTGGATATTTCTGTCTTAGTGCAGAAGAAAAGACTCATTTTGAGAAAATATTTAAAGATGTGTATTGAAATTGAAATCTACAAATGCAAATAGATAAAGTGCAGTAAAAGCAACACTTGAAAGCGTATTTTGAATATTTTCTTTCCACTAGTTTGAAACATTTTATGAAAAGCCAAACAGCCCCAAATCTCAAATATGATCAATGGATGAAAAGAAAAACAGTGTTTTTGCCTGTCACGTCTTACCTTAAATAGTAATTTGTTTATTAATAAAATAATGATAGAATATGTCTTCCATTTGTCAAGTCTAACAACTGTCAATTTCTGTTTTTATTGAATTTTGAGTTTGCATCTTTATATTGTGTAAAGATGTTGACTTTTTACAGCATAGATGTGCACATTTCAGTTTTTAAAATAAAACGGTATTAGCCTATGTTGCCACTATATCAGTCACACTGCAGTTTATGTGTTTGCAGCATCAAGCACTTAAACCCTACTTATAGCCTATTGATGAACCACTGTAGGAAATGTTTATAATTATTTGTTCTCAAAATCTCAACATGATCAATTCTCAGCTGAGCTAATATGTTGATCCAGGTGAGTCTCGTTTTAAAAGTGAGAATTATCGGAATAAAATGAAAACAGCCAGAAATTATTTTCAGCTAGTTTTAACTAGTTTGTCAAATGCTCATTCAAGTCCTGTAGCCACTTGAGTATTGAGCCTGACACCGTGAGAATCATTTTACTATGATGCACAAAATTTCCCCTTTAAGATTCCACTATAGACATTTAGAAAGCACAGAGATTTGAATGTGCTTTTCCTTGGTATGTATTGTAGCGTGACAACTGATCTGCCATAACCAGTTTGATTAAAGGTGTCTAGTTCTCAGTCCCCATGAGGAATATTTAAATGTTGTTGATGTGAAATTACCAAATGTAGTTTGGTTTCTGTGTATCATATTGGATGTTTATTATAAACTAGATTGATGCAAATTAATATTAAACCTATTTGGTGTTATTCAGTGGTAATAAATGCTTTGCAACCCTTTTTTTTTATGTTTGTGAAGTGACATTTCTGTGTGATGTAAAGAGAAAAATGTGCAAAGGGACTTAATTTTTTGCACCACAAATGGATAGTATGGTATTCGAGAATGTAAGCATACTGAATGCGAGTTTGTTAAAACGGTTGGTGGTTATTACTTTTTATTAAATGCTTCTGGAAATGGAATCTATTTTGACTCGATATTATGAGAAGCTTCAAAGTAGCTTCTCCAAAAACAGATCTGACATTTATAATAATCCTGAGATCTCAATGCTGGAGTAAAAATGTCACCGGGCCACAACATCTCGGTTTCATTTCCATTACTTTGCATTGCACTTATAAAACCGGCTGAGTTGGTCTGTGCAGTCATGCACTGCAGGTATTAGAGATATTAAAGTGTCAACCTTTTCGACTTGTTTGTCTTTATCTATTTGCACTTTTTACTGTCACACGCCTAAAAGTAAAAACAGTAATCGCTATTCTTTGTGCACATTCACCATGACGTATCCGTTTCTGTTCAGCCAGGAGTAAGTAATAGGATATTATTGAATGTATGGTGTAAATGCATGGGTTTCAGATCCCTGTGGTGAATCTGGATGTAGGCCAGCCTGACGCTGGTTATCAGTGTGGAATTAGACCCTTAGTGCTGTCTTTATCTCCACTGTGTTTGCTCAGACTTAACAATAATACAGCTCTGTGGTTTAACCCATAAACTCCCGGTGTCATGCAAGATACCGTCCTCTCCCGCTGAATCCTCAACAAATTTGTTCTATTGGTTGAGGTCATTTTTAAAGGGATAGTTCACCCAAAAATGAACATTTTGACATTATTAGAATGGAGCAAATTTCTGTGGAAATCCAATGGCTGACCGTAACTGTCTGCTTATTGACATTTTTTAAAAATATCCTCTTGTGTGTTCACCAGACGAAGGAAACTCATAAAGTTTTTGAAAAGCTTGAGGGTGAGAAAATAGTTTTTTTTTTGGGACAACTATTCAGGTTACTTACAGAAGGAGCTGCATGATAAATCGTATTTTAATAGCTCTTATGATATCTGCATCTCTCAATTTATTAAGCATAATCGTCTGTGGTATTTGTCCGCTGGTTATATATCCTAAAAACATTTATTTTTAATTTGGCATTATCTTGTATTGGTAATGAGCCTTCACAAGCGGTTGCGGTTGCCAGATGTCAAGAGTTTAAATCCCCAATCAAAACTTTTTCTTAAATCGATACGTTTTCTGTCCAGTAGTTTACTTAATCTTCCCAACCTGGCAACACTCACACTCTCTCTGTATTATGGAAAAAGTGCTGATGAGCTGAAAACACTGGCAAACATTTAAGTTGAAGTTTAGCGATCTCGGAGTTATTCTGCTTGAATTCTGTCTGATCTCTTTCACGCACTTGTTTACGCTGTTTGCTGCGACATGCAGATTGGACGTAGACCGTGCAAGTTGAAGTTCTCTTGATTTGTGCTTATGTAAAAGTGCAATAAAAATTGTCAATAAAATGTCAATAATTGTGATTTTATTTTTTGAGTGAAAAAAATCATGCAGCCTAGTTAAAGGGATAATTCACATAAAAATTGCAATTCCGTCATTAACTTCTTGCCCTCATATCAGTCCACAAACCCATCAGAATTTTGTTCATCTTTGTAAAACAAATTAAGATGTTTTTATGAACTCTCAAAGATTTCTGACCCTCCATAGAACGTTCATTCCAAAAAACATTAGCGCTTTAGTAGTTCATAAAAACACAAAATACAGTACATAAACCTTACTGGTTCTGGAAGCTCAAACATGTTTGCGTGATGTGCCAGAAAAGCCTTACTGTTTCTCCTGTGTCAACATCCAGAGCAAGATATCACAATAACTTTTTATTGGACATTGATAAAGAGGTATAGTTTTCTGCAGGGGAATAGGATCTTGCATGACACTGAGAATGTCATTGTCTGCAACACAATATTCTCAGTGTTGAAAAGTTTTAAATGCTGCTTTACGGCCACAGGCCTCCAATGCACAAGATACTTGGGCAAAAAAGATGGATTTTAGATGTCTTGAGAAACAATGGTCAAAAGTGTTATTAGGGAGAAGGACACTCTCTTTGTAGAGATGATTTGATTAAACAAGTTTAACTTGGAAATGGAGTAAACGGGAGTAATTCAGGCAAATTTAGCATCCAGCCAGCACCTTGAGCATCATAACGTGACAACTCCCAATACAGTCAACGAAGCATCACATGAAGTGTAGACACTGTGTCAAGGTGATTGCAGATGAAGGGTTTACAGATGCATAAGGTGTGGACATAACTGATGACAAATAATGAAATGCAAATGTGATCATTTCCTTATAACACAAGATTGCACCGCTTAAGTCAGAAAATTATCATGGAATAGGCTATGTATTTCTTGTCATGTCCTGTGCGTAAAAGTATGAAGACGGTGTTTTTGATTTACTCTTCAATTGCAAAAGCTGCGTTAGAGTTGGTAAGTTTGTTTGGTTTTCATGAATCGGTTCAAACTGTGTTCAGTCTGTTATTCTATTAATTCAGAATTATGATTCAGTGATTCACTTTTGCATCATCACTCAAAAATGTGCCGTTTTTATGTATTTTTCAAGTTTTAGTGAAGAGGGGAATATTGAACCTTGAAAGTCCCATTTGAATTTTTAAGAGCAAATTGATCAATTTTTTGAACTGAATAAAAAGATTAATCTGTCATTCTTCTATCATTAACTTATTAATGGGTTCCAAAGTAATGTATGCATAGAATAAAGACTTTCAATCTTTTTCTTATCTATTTTGTGGCTTCAGAAGACTTTGAATATACTGCCTGCTGCTTTCTGCCATTTTTTTTTTTATCTTGACATCATCACTCAAAAATGTGCCGTTTTTATGTATTTTTCAAGTTTTAGTGAAGAGGGGAATATTGAACCTTGAAAGTCCCATTTGAATTTTTAAGAGCAAATTGATCAATTTTTTGAACTGAATAAAAAGATTAATCTGTCATTCTTCTATCATTAACTTATTAATGGGTTCCAAAGTAATGTATGCATAGAATAAAGACTTTCAATCTTTTTATTATCTATTTTGTGGCTTCAGAAGACTTTGAATATACTGCCTGCTGCTTTCTGCCATTTTTTTTTTTTATCTTGAAATGGTTATGAATTGAATAATAAGAATTAATTCCAAAAATGTGTTTTTTTTTTTTTTTTTCCCCCAGAGTCAATTAAAAAATATTGTGATTTATCAGTGATGCACCTTAAACATTCTGGCCCGAAATGGAAAATAAATGCTATTTAATAATCAATTAATTGATCAGATGTATTTAATAATCAATACGGAGTTATGCAAACATTTAAATTGCACTTACCTTTTTATGTCAACTTTAATAACAGGATTTTATTTCTGCTCCAATTTGTTATTGAACTATAAATAGGTGACTGTAATAAGATTTATTCAAACATACATTAAATAATGAAGACAATAATGAAGACTATATATGTATTAAGAATTCAGATACAAAAGCCTCTAAGTGCCGCCTGAAATATTCTTCTAAAATGAGCATTTTTCTCAGGCTCCTATGTTTATGTTCAGTTATTTCATTTTAATGGCAATGAAAAGAACATATTCATTGCTATTAAAGTTCAACTACTGAATCTACACATAGAAGCCTGATAAAGAAATCCTCATTTTAGAAGAAAATTTCAAACGGCACTTAGAAATATGAAGAATTCAGATGCAAAAGCCTCTATTTTCATATTTCTCTATTTTTATATTCTCTGTTTCAGTTGAAACCGAGAATTGCTATTTCGGCCGAAAATTTTGGGTTGCTCAAATTTCAGTGCATAATACATTTCGAATTATCGAATATTTAAAAAACAATGTTTTATACTTTTTTGTTTTTCTCAGGTAGGCCCCTTTGTGTGGGGGTCATCTTCCACTTAGCTGGTGTCCATCGAGTGCAAGACCAACACTTCCGGTTCCCTGAAGCCCTGCCTTCTGGATCAAGTTCACAGAAAGTGGTGCGATCTGTTTTCGGCTGTTGGGGGGAAGTGAAGGGGCCAGAATCCCAGCGTGTCCTGTTTCCCAGACAATGAAGCTGCAGGCGGTGATGGAGAACCTGCACAGACAGCAGAGAGCCAAACTGCTGATGGAGCAGGCGGGGCAGTCACACAGCACCGCCCCCATAGGGGAGGAGCTGAAAGCAATCTCTGCCTCTGAAACCGAGCATGCGCAGATGGCAGCGCTGGCAGCAATGCGCGCAGTAGCAGCTGGACTTCAGAGGGCCAACAGCCCCATGTCTGAGCACAGCAGTGGAGGAGACGACGATGATGAAGAGGAAGGGGAGCAATACAAAGATATGATGGGGTCTGAGGAGGAAGAGCAGATGTAAGTGGGCAGTCATATGCAAATAAATGCAAATGAGTTGGTTGTTACTTATTATGTTACTGAACTAGTGACTATTGCATATGCATATAAGTGTTGTTAAATGAATGGAAGTTCATTACATACACCGGCCAGAAATTTGGAATAATTACGATTTTTTTAAACATTGTTGAAGGAAGTCTCTTCTGCTCACCAAGGCGGCATTTATTTGATCAAAAGCAAACTGTAATATTGTGAAATATTATTACAGTTAAAAAACAGTTTTCTATTGTACTGTAATATATTTTAAAATGTAATTTATTCCCGTGATCAAAACTCAAGTTTCAGCATCATTACTCCAGTCTTCAGCGTCACATGATCCTTCAGAAATCATTCTAATGTGATGATTTGCTGCTAATTTGATTATTATCAGTGTTAAATATTGATACACTGTGATACACTACCATTCAAAAGTTTGGGCTAAGAAAGAATATGAATTAATACTTTTATTCAGCAAGGATGCATTAAATTGATCAAAACTGACAGTAAAGACCGTTACAGAAGATTTATTTCAAATGCTGTTCTTCTGTTTATAAAATTTTCTATTCATCAGCAAATCATGAAAACAAAAATGTATCATGATTTCCACAAAAATATTAAGCAGCGAAAACTGTTTAAAGCATTGATAATAAAAAGAACATTTATTTAAGTCTTTATTAGTGGGACTCAATTATCAGTAATAATAAAGTACCAAATCAACATATTGAATGATCATGTGACACTGAAGACTGAAGTTATAGCTGATAAAAATTCAGTTTTAAACCACAAGAATAAATTGCATTTAAAAATATATTACAATAGAAAACATCTATTTTAAATTGTAATAATATTTCACAATATAACTGTTTTTAATGTATTTTTACTCAAAAAAAAAAATGCGTGAGCATAAAAGACTTCTTTCAAAAACATAAATCTTAATTATTCTACTTTTAACATGTAGTGTATGTGTAATGTTGAGGGAAATAAAAAAAAATCTAATTTGAGCCATAAATTCCATAAATCTTTCAACAAAGCAGTAAACATGACAAAGAAATTAGACAAACATCCCCTCACATCTTCAAAAAAATGTACAAGTCTACTGTGTACCTGCTGCTTTCTGTAAATTATTTTCTCATTTTAACAGAACTCGTGGTATGGTATTTGGATGGCAATTAACCCATAGCAATATTTCATTGTGTTTCGTTCATTATTAATGTTTTAATTTGCCTGAATTAATAAGCGTCCCTCTCTAACATTTCATCTCATGTGTTTCTGTGCAGAAAACAGAAATGGGATGAAGATGACTTTGAGGGTGAGATGGAGGAAGATTATGTTGACGATCTAGGTGATGAAGGGCTGCCGTCGGGCCATGAGGCCGTCATCCCAGGCAGAGGCATTCTCCTCTTACCCCACCGCCATTTACACCCTCACTCCCAGCTGCTAAAGGCTCGGCCTGGTTCTGAGAGCGAACCGCGGCCGCTGACTCACTCCGCTCATTCATCCCACGGGCCACTCCATGGACAGGACCATGCAGACTGGACCTATGAGGAGCAGTTCAGACAGGTCAGAAATTAACTTGTACACTAAGGGGGCAACATTTGAACATTTGAATTTCCAGGGGTGTTTTTATAATTGCTATGGAAGTCAATGGCTACCAGCAACTGTCTGGTTACCAACATTCTTCAGACTATCTTCTTTTTTGTTCAACAGAAGAAAGAAACTCAGGCTTGTAACAACATGAGGGTGTGTAAAAGATGACAATATTTTCATTTCTAGCTGAGCTATATCTTTAAATTTAACCAGTTACTTCAGTAACCACAATACTATAGATTGTTACCACTCAATTTTAATTTTTTTTTTTAATCAACAAAAGCCATCTGCAAAGGTGGAACAGAAGATGCATCTGACATGGCGCCTATGTTTATTTACACACACTTATTTGCTCTTCATGCTATTTAGTGAAGATCTACTTTAAAGATACATTGAACGGCAGCGCGATTTGCTAAAGCAGCATATTCAGCTGCCATCCTATCACATGCACGCTGCTTGTGTGGATGCAGTCAGTTTTGACCGCAAAAAATGAGGTAAGCTGATTGGATATCATGTATTTGACCGTTTACGGGACCCCCATTTTCCTGTTTTTACATTAGAAGCGGCATTTTGCTTGTCAGAAATACGTTCGGTTTTAATGTTGCTTTAAGTTGGGGTATTAAATGAATGCCAAAACTCAGAATTTTGTTCGCGTACCCCTCACCGTCATCTCACGTACCCCCAGGGGTACGCGTACCCCAGTTTGAGAACCACTGCATTAGAGGGTGAAGCTGCAATGACAATCATTATTGCTCTTGATATTGTTGTAATGATTAATAAAGTCAATTAATAGTACGTTTTTTTTCTGGCTACAGACAAAATAAGCTACGAACAGTATATGAATTGGTTTCTTTTTATGCATTAGAAAATCACACTGGTTATTTCACTAGCATGAAAAAAAGGGAGTAAATTATATAAAGAAAGCCAGCAAAGAACACTGAAGTGTTCGAAGAGTTTTGCAAAAACTCCCGTTATAATCACTTAAGCTGTCTACATTGCAAAATGACACTTACTTACATATTTTCTGGATTTGTTGTTTAGAATGATGAGAGAATTGGTGAATGCAAATTCAGAATTGCATCAGTGAGTCACTGAACAACTCCAGCATTCTCCACGGTGATGAATCAGAACACTTCTGATTGGCCATTGCATTTACAAGCTCAACAGAAACGTGCGTGATTGGTTAGAACGCTCAACGCTGCAAAGTGAATTCTGATGCAACATGAGCAAATCTCCTGTAAATGTAATGCTGCAATCGACACTTTTCATTCATGTAGATTTAGATCCTGCTAAACTGTGCAGGGTATTCTTTTTTTGCCCTCCTATCTTGAATCTTGAAATGGCATTTTTGTTGACTTTGGTGGTGTTTTTTGCCCCAAGCATTAATTTCAGACTGTCCTGGTAGACAGGGTAATTCTAACCTAAAACAGGTCCTGCTACAGTGATGTTAGTCTAAAAAAATACAGACCAAATAAACACACCTCGCACACCTGGATGCTTGCAGGTATGTAGGATAAATGTTGTGTAAAGAATAGAATGTGTTGCTTTCACTAGTCCTAATGCAAATATTTATATGCAGTGGCAGCGTATTACTTTGATATAGCAGCGTTACGGTCTAATGATCTTCTGAAGGGGTTGTGCCTGGAGAAGTTTGTTGAAGCAAAACAGTCTTTCAAATAAATATTTGCAAGCAACGACAGCATGCAGGACTTGAGGAAATAACTTGGCTAATTGATCTGGGGCTGAAGCTGCTGTGTTTTATGCCGAGTGTGAGATTTTGTGAAGTGGGTTATGAAAGCAGAACTCATGAACTAAGCAAGAGGCATTGAGTTCATCTGAGCAGCACTGCTCAAAAACACACTACATCTAAATGCACACATTTTGTAGTTTAATTATGTTGGTGCACAACTAATTGCAAGCTATATGCATTAATTCCAAGATCGCTGTCCTACCAGCCTGTAGCTGTGATCCTGAAATTGTGGAAATTTTTTACTTCATGCATTTACGTGTGTTCTTGCTATTTGTTAAACCCGAACCATATATGAAACACTGACATTCCCAACACACATTATCTGTCACACAGCTATATATTAGCTGTGGTTGTTTAGCTCGTAAGTGCAGGCTGTGGCTTGTTATGCTGTCATGTGAGCTGAAATAAAGAAAGGTTCAAGGCATAATTACAGATTGTCTCAGAACATGAAGCCAAATGCCGGATCATGCAGAATCCCATACATGCATATTATTTGTTGGTTTCTCGAAATGAACTTTGAACACTGAAGGACTCGTTTTAAATTAGTTCCTAGAGACAGGAAGAGTTTGTTTGCCCTGCTGTTTGAGCCAATGAAGAGTCTTCATCTGGAGCAGCGGTCATGACAACAGCACCTGTCAATCAGCTGTGTTACACACTGAAAGCCAAAAAAAGAGCTTATTTATTTATTTTAAATGCTAAGTAGTTTTGTCACAGTACCAGTAAAATACAAGTAAAATTCCATGGTTGTTGATACCTCTTTTATTTTAATATTTCCAAAATTAATTATTTGAAAATGTATTAAAATTTGTTAATTATTAATGCTATTAATAGTTATAAGTAAATCATACATTAAAGCATTAGCTTGTAGTCTTAAAATATTGTTCAGTTACATAAACATGATCAAATGAAAGTAATTAAATATCAAAGAAATGCATTAAAGGTAGATCTATTGCACTTACAATGCAAGACTTTATGCACAAATCTATTTTGACAGTTGCTGTGGTTATGTCAAACATCGCAATTTCAGATTCAGTCCTGCATTTTAATACGGTCGTACTTATCAGTGTGTACATAGCAGCATGAAAAATTTCACTTTTATTCAAATTATGAATGGGTTTGTACAGAAAGAGAGCAAAGAACGCTCCCTTTATAATCAATGAAGCTATTCACCTTTTTCCTAGCAAGCCTACTTTTAAATTATGGGAGGCACTTCCGGTTTGTGGAAGTTCCACTCAAATCATTCATAGGTAAATTTTCATTCACTTTCTATTTTCAGAAGTCAGGAGAATAGCATTATGTTTGGTATATTAATGTGACGCAATATAACAACAATATCTATAGAATAGCTCTTTTCAGCATTATTTTCCTCCTGATTATTTTCATGTTTCCTTTGTATTCTGCTGCTGCTCTCCCGATTTAATTCACAATATATACCATGAATAATTCCCTGGAATGCACTAAGAATCTTTCATTTTTCTCCCCAAATCCTCATGTCTCTTTCCAGGTTTGTATTCACACGGATGCTGTAAAATGTAATTGTTACGAAATATAGACACGTATGATATTTAACTCGCCTGTGATATTGCTGCGGATAGGAGGAGGAGTTATTACTGGTATGTTCAGAATAATTTGTTAATGCTTTTACACATTTTTAAATTTCCTTTTAATGATCGATTGTTGAAGGGTGAGGAAAATAATGTCACCTCATCGTACCCAGGTTTTGAAAATGCTTATTGCCGATTGTTTATTTGCGCAAATCGTCATGGGCCGTAGGAAAAAGTGGATAGTTCAGCCGCAGCGTGAGCTCACTGACTGAGTGAAAACCCCTGTTTTACTTTTGTCAACATAAGATCATTTGTGGCTGATTTATGGAACTGAAAGGCACCATGCAGTAGCACTCTCGTGAATATGTTCCATGCCGTTGTAATACTGCTTTCCCATTATGACTTGGCTTCATGAAGTGCTGTGACTTCACCCTTCCTTGGGAATTTTTAAACCCAGATTTCTGGTTACGGAGCACTGCAGGTTATTATTCTTTTAACAATCATGTTGGATTTGAACATTTTGTTACCCTGCTTTTGAGAGCAAGGTCATTTGATGTGCGTATGCTGGGCATGTGATGTGCTGAGTGAAGCGTTTGCAGGTGTTTACAACTGTTGGTTAGCGGGCGACAGAAATGCTATAGGGGCTTTAGCATTCAGTTCAAGCTTGATCTTCATATCAAGTCGTTGCCAGAAAACATGAATATCGTGGGCAGTTATGCAATCAAGACGAGCAGCACAGTCTGTACGTTGAGATGTTGCACAATGATTGGGTGGTACTTGAATGGTTGTATAATGAATACTTTACACCTCTGCTCCTGTTCTGAATACGAGAACGTGAATACGAGATGATACGCCCAGTTGCAACGACACACTAATGGTTTTTTTACCTGTTGCATCATAACACTAGTTTGTTTGGTGTAGTTTGTGCTGCCGTATATGTGGAAAGGGTTAAGGCCCGTGGTTTATTTTGGGCAGGTGGGTGGGGGCAGTGAAGAATGTGCCTGAGGGAGAGTGATAATCTGGACCCTGGCAGAAAAAAAAAAAAAAACACCAACGTCTTTATTGGCTGTCACAGCTGGAACCTTTCCAAACTGAACTCTGGCACACTTTTAACCAATAAAACCCATGACTCATTTCTGTGGGTCTTAAAAAGTCTTAATTCACCCTTCCACAAATTCTTAGTCTTAAATCCGAGCTCAAATTCATCAAATCATGGCATAAATGGCAAAAAATGACTCCTCAGTATTTTCTTGTTTTCCAATACAGATATCCTTAAATCAAGATACATTTACTTGAGATGCAAAATGAATGAGAGCTTGAACAAAATTACATGCGTTTGTTTAAAAACAGAACAAATATCTGTCAAAAACTTGTTTTCCCTTTGAATTAAGTCACATTTTTTTCTGAGCCCATTGGCGGATAATTGTTTAGTTTATCACAAACTCACTAAATTTAGACTAATTTTACAGATAACAAGTAATTTTGCTTCTCAAGTAAATGTATCCTGATTTAAGAATCTTTAGATATTTGCGCTGGAAAACAAGGCAAAATATACTAATGAAGAGCATCATTTGTTTTTGCCGTGCGATCAGAAGGTGAGGTAAAAGCTATTTTCATGTTCTAGTGGTTTGGAGCAGAGCTATTCAAACCTTAAGCTGCTTTCTGTAAAATGTATTAAA